TGTGAACATCAATCACTATGTGATAAACCATGATAATCAAAGGAAGCCATGATTCAAGAGGTGAAATAATAGGAAATCTCTAATCTACTTTTCTTTGACATTAGACAGGTAGGCCTTAATAGGTCTTGAATTCATTTGAAATTTCCAAAAATTTTCCCCAAAAAACAAGGGTAGAAAGCAGCTTAAGAGTATGAGTGTTAGAGAAAATGTGCTTTTAATTTTTTATTACTTTTACTCCTTTTTGATGATATAATATTCCACATTTGCAAAGAAAAATGATTACACATATATAGCATAAATAAAATAAATACCATGTTCCTACTACCTAGTTTAAAAATTGTGGCTGAGAGGGGCGCCTGGGTGGCTCAGTCGGTTGAGCAAACGACTTCGGCTCAGGTCACGATCTCGTGGTCCATGAGTTCGAGCCCCACGTCGGGCTCTGTGCTGACAGCTCAGAACCTGGAGCCTGTTTCAGATTCTGTCTCCCTCTCTCTGACCCTCCCCCATTCATGCTCTGACTCTCTCTGTCCCAAAAATAAATAAACTTTAAAAAAAATTTTTTTTAATTGTGGCTGATACAGCAAAAGGGCCCTTCAATATCCATTTTCCAACCTTTCAGTAATAACAGAAATTATTTACCGGGGAAAATGGTTAGCCAGCTAAAGACTACGTTTCTAGCCTTTCTTGCAGCTACACATAGCCATGTGACCAAGTTTTGGCCAATAGGATAAGAGCAGAAGAAACAGGTACAATTTTAGGCCACGCCCTAGCAAGGAAAAGAGCACAGCTTCTCTTTTTTCCCATTTGAATTGGTTGGAACTTGTGGTTAGTCATTTTTGACTACAAGGACAAGGGGCAACATCCTGAGGGTGACACACTAATAAAATGGACCTCTAGAGCTTGTTTGGAGGTTCTAGCAGGGGAGCGCAACTACTCGTATACCCTTGACCGAAGAATGATCCTCCTGTATTGGGGAAGGTTGTCCTCTTCTACAGAGTGCACAGCTTCAGGAGGGATGCACATGGAGCAGCGAGGGAAGAAAGGGACACCCGCCTACCCAGCCAGATAAGCCGAATCAACCCTGGTGATCAATGGGGTGACAGATGTCACAGCCAGATCACCATCACGTCCTAATAAAATGGAAGGAATCAGTGTTCCTGACACTTTGGAGTTGCCATGCCAGCCCAGAATTGCCTGACAATAGGTGAGAGAAAAATACTTAGACCATGGAGTTTTGTATCCTAATTAATATAATTACCAATACTTTGGAATCAATCTGTGTGCCCTTCTACAATCCCATTTCTGGAATTTTATATATCATTTTTTTTTCCTTTTCTTCATAGCTTTTGTCACATATGTACATATTCCTAAATGCAAAGTCATACATGTTTTTGAACTCTGTGTGAATTAAATAAATCATATTATGTGCATTTTTTCTGTAACTTGCTTTTTTTCCGTCTCTCAGTATTATACTTGTGCAATTCATGTTAATAAGTGTAGCTATGGTTTATTTTCTACTGCTATATTAAACTTGCTGTATAATATTAAATTGTGTGAAAATACCTCAGCTTATCCATTCAGTATTGGTGGACATTTAGGGTATTTATAGTTGTTGATTATTGTACAAAGATGAATATTCTTATACCTATCTCTTAGGACACATGTGCAAGAATTTCTCTAGGATGTACTCCTGGGTCAGAATTATTTTTCAAAATGGTTGTCCCCTCCTATTCCTCCTTGCTAATACTTGCACTCAAGGCCACGTGATTAAGTTCTGGGCTAGTGGGATGCATGTAGAAGTGTTGTTTTGGAATTTTAGAAAAGCACCTTACTTTGCTGGCTCGGCTGAGTGGTATCCAACTTATTTATTTTTTTTTTTCACTCCCTTTCTCTTTCCGTCTACTTGAAATGCAAATAGAATGGGTGGAGCTTCAGAGGCCATTCAGAACCAAGTGATGACCTTAAGGTACAAGTCAGAGAGGATGTTAGAGGAGAAAGACAGAAGAGCCTGAGTTCCTGATGATCATGAGGCCACTGCAATTATAGATTTTTATGCGAGAAAGAAATAAACTCTTATTTTGTTTATGTCACCAGGTTTTGGGGATTTTTCTTACAGGTATCTGAATATAAGCCCAGTTGATTGTTTTTCTGTTTCTTGTTGATTTTAGGAATTCTTTATATAATCTGGGTAGTAGTCAATGTGGATTTTATTTGAGGGAAATACCTTTTCCTGGTTTATGGCTTGTGTCTTTTCATTCTCCTTTGATGTTTTGATGTGCACTAGAAATTATCTGTAATATAGTTAAATTTATTGATGTGAAAAAGGATTTCTCCCTGGATTTTTCATGGCATTGATAAATTAAAAAAACAGATGTCTCCAAGTTTACTGTACATAAAACCAGCATAGTTAAAAATGGATCTCTGTCATTCTGATTCCTTTCCTGCATTTTTCAGCACTTTTTTCTTCACATGAAAGATTAGGAGGTATATATCCAATGAATGGTTTGGTCTATAGACACCTAAGGCAGGGGTCACCAAACTTTTTTCTGTGAGGGACCAGACTGTAAACATTCCAGGGTTTGCAGGCCCGTGTGGTGTCTGTCACAACCACAGAACTCGGCTTTTGAGTGAGAAAGTAGTTTAAACAATATGTGAGGCATAAACGTGGCCTTATTTGTGACACTGAAGTTTGAATTTCATATAATTTTGCATCAAAAAAATTCCTTTGATTTTTTTCAGCCATTTAAAAATGTTAATACCATACTTAGCCCGTGGGCTGTACTAAAACAGGTGGTGGGCTGTTAGTTTGCTGACTCCTCTCCGAGGTGTCATAATGTGAATCCTGCGGGACAAACTGCATCTGCTGATACATGTTTCTTAACACACTGTCTTGAAAGCAGTCTCTGAGCTTGTTCTATGCCTTAGAAAATTGCATAAAGATCAGAACCAGGAAGTAAAAAAAGGCAAGAGGGAAGCTTATCTCAGGCTGTGCAATGTTTATGGCAGGATGTCCCCTGTGTAAAGAGGTGCATTGTGAGGTAAGGGGCTGGTGAACTACCATTGTGTGGCAAGTGTGCTCAGTCCACTGTACAGTGGGAGGACGCTGCCTGGATCCCTGTCCTCTATCGCCAGAGAAGGCTGCGTGTAAAAATGTCCAATTACTGGTACTGGATGCTCTGAAAAAAGGGCATTTGAGTTTCAACCATTCAGTCCCCTTGTTAGCAAGCCTTTTCAAGTCCTGATTTTTCCTTTCAATATCTTGGTTTTGAACCCACAGCGAGAGTTCTATAGAGCTAAAGGGCCCCTGTTCTTTGGGTTGGAAGAAGAATTGTTTTTGTGGTGCGTTTATCAAGTAGGACCTCTTTTTGGACAGACAGATGGGGCCATGAGGCCGGTGACCCAAGATGTGCAAAATCATGTTCTCACACAACCAACCGCCCTCCCCTCCCGCCAGACTCCACACGCAGCGACGTCCTTCAGTAGTTAGCCAAAGGCCAGGGCACACCCACACCAGGAGAAGAGAGTTGTGCACAAGACCACAGGTTACAGGAACCAGCCTCTAACTGCCCAGCTAGCGAGGAGTTTTTCCTCACGGGAGCCCGACCAGACATCCTTGGAGAAGAATCGAACTTTAGAGGCAGGTGCATCAGCCCCTTGGGGAAGTCAGGGCCCTTGCACGCCAACCAGAAAGTTACTGTTGGCGGGACCCTAGTGGTGACCTGGTGGCCAGCGAGAGCCGGTCCAACCCTCCCTGACACCTCGCCGGACTCTCCCCAACCCCTCCCCCAGGTCCTCTCCCCAGAGGCCCCGCCCTCACTCCACCCCCGCGGTCGCACGAGCGGCGGGGCCGCTCTGGGGGCGGGGGCCCCGGGACCTGAGGCGGCCCCGCCTGACCTCGACCTCGGTCGAGCGAGCCCGACCGGAGAGTCCCACCCGGCAGCCACAGGCCCCGGTCCGCAAGCCCCTCCCTTCACCTCTCCCCGCCCTGGCGCCGGGCACAGGCCGCGCTCCCTCGAAGCGG